TTGATATAATAAAACATTTTTTACTGAAATTACTTTGAGCATAGCATCATTTTGAAAAACATGCGTTTGTTCTGACGGACCCTGTATATAAGACATATTAAATACGAATAAATATACCATGATAATCATATATGTACCTGTAACGCTGTAACCATCAGTGCGCCCTGTGGCGATATCTTTCTCGTAAAACTATTCTATCAATGTAGACGGTTAGGATCGTGTTGGAGTTTTCAGTTTTCAGTGGACAGTGAAACTACCAAGTGACCATGGTTGGACTTTACAACATTATATGCAAATATTTTACCTATAATACTATTATACTGCCTACACTGTACAGTGTACATATGTAATACCATTGGTCATTAAAACTAGTGTATTTAACACTATACATTTTAATTAGTGCCACAATATTTTTATGCCATAATGATTAATTTTCATAGTAGAATCGTTACGTAACAATTGGTTAAATAAACAATAATATGTAACAAGATTTTATATTTATATGAATTAAACATTATAGTTATAATATGGGTAGTATATATAATATTATACTGTTTAAATAATTATAAAAGTTTAACTATTTCAATTTTGTAATTTGAACTAAATTTATAGCTGCCACATATGTAATTATAATTTACAGTAAAATATACTGTAATTATAGCTAAATTAACTACCTATCTATTTTTTTCCGTGGCAATATAACAATTAATAAAAATCTATGATAACATACGAATTTTGACGATTTTTACAGAACCTATACCGGCCGATGTCATTCACGCCGTTTCCAAGTTTCACGTGACCAACGAGCCTAGGCATTTGTATTTCTTCCGCGAAGGCTCGGTGGTCGGATGGAACGTGTCAGATCTWGAGGTCAGCAGTCTGATTAACTTCCTAGTCGAACACGAGATCGGGTCCTACGACAACCACATCGTTATGGACGAAAGAGAAATCATGTATTACGCGTACACGAACGACAAGTAATACACATATTAATAAAAATATACAATAAATAAGTTGTGGGTAGAATGACAGGGAGKGTGAATTCACCCCTACAAGCCACCCCAAGTCTCCACATCTTATTTTTGGCCCTAATACAGAACTAAATACGGGCTTAGGTTAGGGCTTAAGAAGWCTTAAATAACAATTAATTTGAAACATTTTTCTAATATAGTAATATATACCTATATATTGAAGAAATTATTTACATGAACGCCGGACCCCTGTACCATGAGTCCTTCTGACCCCCCCCCTTTTGGGGGGCCCTGCACCCTTAAATTCATGGGTGGTATCAGTGGTACTGTCCGCAGTTCATCGCCATGGGTGTTATTTTTGGTTGTATACATAGACGATCCAATATATAAACAGCAGGTGCARGGAACATAAGAAGTTCCAGGTCACATCTACTTGCTCTACTACCTCCAAAATCTACCACAACTATCCTTTATTTTTGCTGGAATAATTTGTCTCTGCTAAAAAAGGTTAGTTTTGATTTACTCCAAGCTTATTTTTTTTTGGACTAAGATCGTGTATTTTTTTTTATCCTAATATAAAAAAATTACCGATATTTTAGTCACCATCAACAACCTTGATTGTTGTAGTGTTGTGCTCTGTATCATAGTAAGTTATTATAATAAAACAGTAAATAGTCAATAATCTCGTAACTGGTTGTATAAGATGAAAATTGAAAAATAATTCATAAAACGTATGTAAAAATTAACGGGAATTATTTTAAGTGCTGATAAAAATAGAAAATTCAAAATTCAAATTAAATCATTAATCGTTTATATAGAAAGAGTTCGATCCAAAAGGGAAATGTGCATCTGATCGGCGATGACGTGACGGCGTCTGACTTGGACCGATACACGTTTTCTAACGCGATGGCGCACAGCGTGAAACTGGGTACGTGGGAAGCGCTGCTCGAAGAGTACATAGACTCGGTCGAATTCGTAACACAAGTGAGTTTTTGAATATCAGAAACTTTGAAAGGTTAGGTWAGGTTASGTTAGGTCAAGCCTTCAAATATAGTTGGTGAAGTAATGACTGCTCTGCTGTTTATATCTACAGTAAGTGAGGGGAGGAGAGGGTCGACTTTTGTGTGTTATCGTCATTGAATAGGTTAGGTTAGGTTGGTTAGGGATTGATCAATGATAAATTATTAAACACGATAAAAAACAATTTTGTAAAGCGTAGGAAGTCTTACTTTTTGATGTTACCAAAATTAACAAATGTTTTTTTTTAAATTCCGATTTATTTCAAAAAGTTCTTGGGATTTTTTTGTTACCTTCCAGATTTCACACTAGATCCAATTTGCTGAAAGAAAACTTCTTCAAAATTGACTAAGGATTATTTTTATGCTTGAAAAAGTATCATCAGAAACGTAAATAATAAAAAATACACATCATTGTATTCCTTCAGCTCCACCCAGGATCTAAAATAATATTCGTATACGTCACCGTCATGAATTTTATTTATAATAATAGTGGATACAATATTCTCAGATTTCATCGTTAAATTAATTTATATTATATGTGATTTTATAATAATTGATAAATATTAAAATGTTTATTGCATATTTTAGGGTTTTTAAGTGCACAATTGCTTGGATTTGTACCTACTTTTATATGGCTATATATAGGTATGTGTTAGCATCATCTACCCTAAATTCATAACATTATAGGTATATTACTCCAAATTTTGAAAAAYAAATGATTTGATTTTTATACATCCCACCCTATTCGTCATTACCTTTTACCTCAATTAATCCAAGCCCCAGATTCCAAGTCCCGTAAAGGAGTGCTTAGGGTTCTCAAAGTACCTTCTAATAGGTACCAAAGTTTTAAAAACAAATTGATGGTWAGACTTGTTTTAGGGCATTTGACAATTTATTATGGAAAGTATTGTGTCAGACTATGTCACGTCATCACCTACCACCTTATAGTTAATAACTACTTGATCATCATATTTAGTTTTTTATTTATGATAAAAATGGGAGRCAWTTTGTATATTTTGAAAGTACTAAGAAGCACTGGTTTTTTCCTTCATCAGGATCTACAAAACGGATTGCCTATCCGTATCACTAGGAAAGAAGTCATGAAGAAAACCGGTGAACTATTCGGACTGAGACACAGGATTAATTTAAGTTCAGATCTCCTCGATTTGCCAGACTTTTACTGGGAACGAGAACACTTAGAAACATTTTACCGTTCTACCTGTAACTATTTCAGTATATCTACACGACTCAAAGTAAGTCTACAATGTCTATCTAACTTTGTTATTTTGCTATAATTATTTTTTTAATAAAAGGCAAATTAAAAAAAAAAAAAAAAATGTTATTCATGTTCTTCTCAATGACTCATTCTGATGTTTTTCCAGACCATGAATACCAAAATAAACCA